TTGGGCGCGAAAATTAAGTTTTCTCCAATCTTCCCAAATTCTGATAGAGGCCATGAGACTTAGACCTGAGTGCAAAAATGGAGGCTCTAGCCCCTTCCAGAGCTGAGATATCGAAACTCAAAAATTCGGCCCGAAAAAAAAAACGACAGTGTACCGTACCCTTACGTTTTTTTTTGGGCCAAAAATTAAGTTCTCCAATCTTCCCAAACTCTGATTAGAGGGCCATGAGACTTAGACCTGAGTGCAAAAATGGAGGCTCTAGCCCCTTCCAGAGCTGAGATATCGAAACTCAAAAATTCGGCCCGAAAAAAAAAACGACAGTGGTACCCCTTACGTTTTTTTTTTTGGGCGAAAAAATTAAGTTTCTCCAATCTTCCAAATTCTGATAGAGGGCATGAGACTTAGACCTGAGTGCAAAAATGGAGGCTCTAGCCCCTTCCAGAGCTGAGATATCGAAACTCAAAAATTCGGCCCAAAAAAAAACGACAGTGGTACCCCTTACGTTTTTTTTTTTGGGCGAAAAAATTAAGTTCTCCAATCTTCCCAAAACTCTGGATCTGATAGGGGCCATGAGACTTAGACCTGAGTGCAAAAATGGAGGCTCTAGCCCCTTCCAGAGCTGAGATATCGAAACTCAAAATTCGGCCCGAAAAAAAAAACGACAGTGGTACCCCTTACGTTTTTTTTTTTGGGCGAAAAATTAAGTTTCTCCAATCTTCCCAAATTCTGATAGAGGGCCATGAGACTTAGACCTGAGTGCAAAAATGGAGGCTCTAGCCCCTTCCAGAGCTGAGATATCGAAACTCAAAAATTCGGCCCGAAAAAAAAACGACAGTGGTACCCCTTACGTTTTTTTTTGGGGCGAAAAATTAAGTTTCTCCAATCTTCCCAAAACTCTGAATTCTGATAGAGGGCCATGAGACTTAGACCTGAGTGCAAAAATGGAGGCTCTAGCCCCTTCCAGAGCTGAGATATCGAAACTCAAAAATTCGGCCCGAAAAAAAAAACGACAGTGGTACCCTTACGTTTTTTTTTGGGCGAAAAATTAAGTTTCTCCAATTTTCCCAAATTCTGATAGAGGGCCATGAGACTTAGACCTGAGTGCAAAAATGGAGGCTCTAGCCCCTTCCAGAGCTGAGATATCGAAACTCAAAAATTCGGCCCGAAAAAAAAACGACAGTGGTACCCCTTACGTTTTTTTTTTGGGCGAAAAATTAAGTTTCTCCAATCTTCCCAAATTCTGATAGAGGGCCATGAGACTTAGACCTGAGTGCAAAAATGGAGGCTCTAGCCCCTTCCAGAGCTGAGATATCGAAACTCAAAAATTCGGCCCGAAAAAAAAAACGACAGTGGTACCCCTTACGTTTTTTTTTTGGGCGAAAAATTAAGTTTCTCCAATCTTCCAAAATTCTGATAGAGGGCCATGAGACTTAGACCTGAGTGCAAAAATGGAGGCTCTAGCCCTTCCAGAGCTGAGATATCGAAACTCAAAAATTCGGCCCGAAAAAAAAACGACAGTGGTACCCCTTACGTTTTTTTTTTTGGGGCGAAAAATTAAGTTTCTCCAATCTTCCCAAATTCTGATGATAGAGGGCCATGAGACTTAGACCTGAGTGCAAAAATGGAGGCTCTAGACCCTTCCAGAGCTGAGATATCGAAACTCAAAAATTCGGCCCGAAAAAAAAACGACAGTGGTGGTACCCCTTACGTTTTTTTTTTTGGGCGAAAAATTAAGTTTCTCCAATCTTCCCAAATTCTGATAGAGGGCCATGAGACTTAGACCTGAGTGCAAAAATGGAGGCTCTAGCCCCTTCCAGAGCTGAGATATCGAAACTCAAAAATTCGGCCCGAAAAAAAAAAACGACAGTGGTACCCCTTACGGTTTTTTTTTGGGCGAAAAATTAAGTTTCTCCAATCTTCCCAAATTCTGATAGAGGGCCATGAGACTTAGACCTGAGTGCAAAAATGGAGGCTCTAGACCCTTCCAGAGCTGAGATATCGAAACTCAAAATTTCGACCAAAAAAAAAACGACAGTGTTTCTCCCTTACGTTTTTTTTTTGGGCGAAAATTAAGTATCTCCAATCTTCTCAAAACTCTGGATTCTGATAGAGGGCCATGAGACTTAGACCTGAGTGCAAAAATGGAGGCTCTAGACCCTTCCAGAGCTGAGATATCGAAATCAAAAGTTCGACCCGAAAAAAAAACGACAGTGTTACCCTTACGTTTTTTTTTTTTGGGGCGAAAAATTAAGTATCCCCAATCTTCTCAAAACTCTGGATTCTGATAGAGGGCCATGAGACTTAGACCTGAGTGTAAAAATGGAGGCTCTAGACCCTTCCAGAGCTGAGATATCGAAACTCAAAATTTCGACCCAAAAAAAAAAACGACAGTGGTACCCCTTACGTTTTTTTTTTTTTTTTGGCGAAAAATTAAGTATCCCCAATCTTCTCAAAACTCTGGATTCTGATAGAGGCCATGAGACACAGACCTGAGTGCAAAAATGGAGGCTCTAGACCCTCCAGAGCTGAGAGATGTCAATCAAAATTTCGACCCGAAAAAAAAAACGACAGTGGTTACCCCTTACGTTTTTTTTTTGGGCGAAAAATTAAGTATCCCCAATCTTCTCAAAACTCTGGATTCTGTTAGAGGGCCATGAGACTTAGACCTGAGTGTAAGATTCACGTTTGAGGGGGTTAAACCGTGACATCTACACGTTTTCCAAAGTGGACCATTTAGGCTGCTTCATTAAAAACGTGACATTTAGACGTTTTGTTTCGGCGTGGATCGAGGCAAATGAATCCTTTTCACCTTGAAAATAATAAATGTTTTTTTTTTACATTTTTAACAATAGACCATTTTTCAGTGATCGTCAATAAAACAAAATCCCATTTTTCTCGGTTTGATAAAAACCAATATGGTAAGTTTAAGTTTCAGTTTAAGTGCAAATTTCAAGTTTGAGGGAGTGAAACCGTGACATCTACACATTTTCCAAAGTGAACCAAGTGATTATTTCACGTCTTGTCGGCTGGAGAAATGTTGTTTTGGCCACTTTGTTTGATAAAATCACAACAATTTAATGTAAGCAAGAATGGGATTTGAACTCAGGTTTTCTTGATTGAAGCCCAACACTTTATCAACTGAACCAATGAGTCTGTTAAGTTCAAGGGTTTATTGGATGGGTTTTTATTATAGGTTTGGTTTTATTTGTTGGAAAAATAAATATAAAAATATAATTTGACACAAGAGGGCAGTATAGCCCTATATGGTTTTGTTAAACCGTGACATCTACACGTTTTCCGAAGTGGACCAACGTGATTATTTCACGTCTTGTACCGGGTGCGGCTGGCTTGCCGCTTGACCGTGTATTTTCCACGTGCGGCCCACTTGACCGCAGTCTCAGAACAGCGCATCAGCAGTGAACGCAAACATGTTAACCGGCAAGGCTTTAAGCACATGCAAATTAACTTTTGTGAACTCGCTGAACTGATGTAACGTTAGCCGTTCCTCTGCGTTAATATTGCGAGTATTTGTCGCGTTGTAAGTTACACTAATGCTGTTGAGACGGAGGTGTCAGAACTGCAACTGGCAGAATACACGATATTTCTACAAAAGCAGTCAGCAGCTTGATTGGAGCAAGGATCATAGCGCAAATTTGAACTATATCGATATATCGATAGATCATAGGCTGTCCTATGGAAAAATAAATATAAAAATATAATTTGACACAAGAGGGCAGTATAGCCCTATTTATGGTTTTGTTAAACCGTGACATCTACACGCTTTCCAAAGTGGACCAACGTGATTATTTCACGTCTTGTCGTGATACCGGGTTGGGCACTTGAAGTTACAGGAGTCCCGTTCATAGGCTAAGATCATAGGCTGTCCTCTGCCCAGTCTGGAAAACATCTCTACATCATGCTGTCTCAGGAGAACCAAGGCCATCACGAGAGACCCTTACACCTTGCCTATCCCCTGTTTGACCTGTTGCCTTCTGGGAGACGTTACAGGTCAATCAAATCCCACACTAGCAGGTTGACGAACAGCTTTTTTCCCTGGGCTATACGAACAGCCAATACCCATTGACACTCATACACATGAGTGATACACTGATACGAAATTGAGCAGGTGAACAAGCTGAACCAATTAGACATTCTCTCTATAGACATTTCACAAGATGTAAACAACACTGGTCCAGAAGCACTTCCTGTTTCAGTTTGTAACTGCTTTCTTTATTTCACATGTAAAGAAAACATCTTAAAAATGTTTGTTTAACTTTTTTATTCAGTTTTACATGTTCTGCTGGTTGTATTTTATCCCAGCTTTTATGTAGTGTTAAAAAACTGAAACAGGAGTGCTTCTGGACCAGTGTTTACATCTTGTGAAATGGTCTATATACGTAGGCTACTTGTTGATACTTTGAAAGGAACTTTCTGTACGTCAGCCAGTTATGGGTTATGTGCTCTTATTCTCTCCTTTTGAGTCCGGCTGCCGACACCAGTCCCCCTCTTCTTTTTTTTTTTTTTTTTAACAGATCTGCATGATTCACGTATAGGTCACATTTTCAGGTCGGAAAATCCGGAATTCCGGATTAATCCGGAAAAATCAAATCCCTGATAGATCTGGATCAAATAAACATCTGGCAGTCAATTTGCCTTTGTTGGCTAATCTTAACTTCAATAACGATGATCACATGATCCACTTCAGGGGCTGATCCTAATACGGACGGATATCCGGGAAACACACATGAGAAGCTTTAGTTTTGAAGTTTTTCAATCTGCCATAAAACGAAAAGAAGAAGAAGAAGAAGTTTTTCTGCAAAACTGAAGGGCCTGCGGTAGAAAATGAGTTCTCTGAGTGAAGTCCGAGAGGAGGATCTGCGGTGTCCCGTGTGCCTCGACATCTTCAGCCATCCCGTGCTCCTGCCCTGCAGTCACAGTGTGTGTAAGGAGTGTTTCCAGCGGGTGTGCGGCGAGCGAGGGCGGCAGGAGTGTCCCGTCTGCGGGAAAACATCCACAGGGCTTCTCCCACCGGATAATCTCGCGTTGAGGAACATCTGCGAGTCATTCTTCCGCAAGAGAAACTCTTCATCAGGTGTGTTCTTCTGCGATGTTCACAGAGAGAAACTCCAACTCTTCTGTCTGGATGATAAACAGCCTGCGTGTTTGGTGTGCAGAGACTCGGAGAAACACCTCAAACACACATTCAGGCCCGTCGACGAAGTCGCTCAACGTCTGAAGGTGAAATCTGTTTCTTTTGGATAAAGGGGGCATTTCATACTTCATTTAAAGTGAATCATTTGACTAGTGGCCTTATATATATATATATATATATATATATATATATATATATATATATATATATATGCATATGCTGGAAGAACAAAACACTTAAGGCTGGCCAAGTTGTTTATCTGACAAAATTATTTGACAAAGGCATAATAGGCTACAGCTGCAGATTTTATTTTATTTAGCAAAACGTTTGAAAAAAAAAGTTTGACTATAAACACAATTAGTAGGGCTGGGGTAAACGATTATTAACTAAACGATTAGTTGGGCGATTATTTTATGGATTAGTCGACTAATCTAATGACTAATTGGACGACTAATATAAAGAATATTTTTCTGCTGCTCAATTAATAAAAAAACAATGTATCTCAAATAAATACTAGCATACTGAATCAAGATACTACAAGCTGGCTAAGGTTAGTCTAATGTTATGTATTTGAACACAATCATTATAACTCTACAACCGCCAAAACCGTGTTATTAAAATATTTTTTACAAACATTTTTTATCATAGAGAATGTTTAAATATTAATATCAGCTGAGGAGGGAAACGGAGGCGGAGTTAGTGGTGCGATCGGAGGCTGCTAGTGCTGGAGATGAATCGGGAGAGGTTTGTGCATCTACTGATCAGAGCGCGTGCTGACACGGAGTAAAGCCTTGTTTGTACTCGACACGAGCGCGAATGTGCGTGCGGCGAAATTGACGCGTTGGGTGCGCAAGACCAGGAAGACTGTGGCTGGCTGTGTGTACCTACGCCTTTTTTTTGTAACAGCGCGCACAGCGCCGCGTCCTGGATGAACGACTTCAAGCCGAATCTGCCCGAGCTTGTACGTCTCACCACACCGGCACCCAGTTTGCGCGTCTAAATTGTAAAGTTTTTTTCTTAAGGGTGTGATTCACTTAATGGAATGGATAGCACATTCACTTCTAGTTGTCTTCGTCCTTTATTCTGCAATGTTTCGGTCTCCCACGTGTGTGTGGCAAGCTGTACCGCCGGGAACATGCAAAAAAATAAATAAATAAGCGTCGACGTAAAAATATGACGTCGACGCAATTTTGACGTCGAAGCATCGACGTCATCGACGCGCCGCTACAGCACTAACAATTAGGCCTACACAATATTACAAATTTTTTAATAATGTCAATTTTATCCCCAGTAAAATAACTATATTACTTAAAAAATATAGAATCTAATAGGATGACAAAGTGAATTGTGTTTAATTTAATATATATACACTCCCAGTTTCTGCCAATAATAAATAAATAAAAAGAAGAATGATCTTAGCCAATATGTGAGTAAAAAAGTTTGTGAATCACTGCTTAAAGTTATATAGACTTACTCTTTTGCACAACAGTAATATTAATGGCATCCCATTGACTTATCTAACATCAACTGTTTATTGTATTTCAGGAGGAATTGAAGACCTCATTAAAACATTTACAAGAAAAACTCGAGAGCTTTAAAGAAATGAAACAATTGTTTGAGGATACAGCACAACACATTAAGGTGAAAAATATACACTGACATTTTCTAGATAGATTTTTTCACGATAGTTCCACTTGAAGAGCATCTGTGTGTGTGTCAGACTCAGGCTCAGCAGACTGCGAGACGCTTGCAGGACGAGTTTGGGCGGCTTCATCAGTTTCTGCGGGATGAGGAGATGCACAGAATATCTGCACTGAGAGAGGAAGAGGGTCAGAAGAGTCAGATGATGAAGGACAGGATTGAACAGATCGACAGAGAAATAGAGTCTCTTTCAAGCAACATCAGAATTATAGAAGATGATTTGGATGCGGCCAACATGATCTTTCTGCAGGTGAGGACTCGCAGCTGTATTTTCAATTAAATTTTTTACTGTAGGCTATTAATCTAGGTTTTTATTGTTTTACCTATACAATATTGTTCCACTGTACCCATTATCCAGCATGAAGGCGTTAAAGTGACTGATGAAGGTTGAGGGTGGATTGATGTTTGGTCATATAGTATTTCTGTTGGGTCGATGTGTCAAAGCAGGATTTTGATTTTGACATCGCTGAGATCATCAGAGCTCCCATTCTCCTCATCATTAGTTTATCTCTGTCTTCTCTGTTTATCACTTCTAATAAACTATTAGACACAACTGTTAAACAATAGGGGTGTAACAATATCTCGTGCCATATCGCAATACAAAAATGCAATAATATGTATCGTGGATGGTTCGCCCAAAATAAAAATGACTATGTGAGAAGAAACTCTAATAGTGTCAGTACTACATTAAACTCCTATATATACTGTTGATTAATGCAATGGGGGAATATTTGTGTGTCCTGATAATGCCAAGTGTCCAACATTATTTTAAATATATCTAAATACATTCATTATATCTAGTCAGAAAAAGTGCAAGAATATTCGTCTAAAATAATTCTGTGTTTTCAGCTTCAGAATCATGAATATTTTTATTCTGGTGTCACCATTGTCCTTGGGTTACCGAGTCCAAGCCTATTTATTTAAAGCCACAATGTAATATCAAAGCTAG